CCAATTGGTGGATTTGTTATCTAGAATGCTATGGAGAAGAGAGGACAGTCTATACGTCCTTCTGAAAAGTAAAGGGCATTATAGTTGCCAATTGGTGGATTTGTTATCTAGAATGATGGGAGAAGAGAGGACAGTCTATACGTCCTTCTGCATAGTAAGGGGCACTATAGTTGCCAATTGGTGGATTTGTTATCTAGAATGCTGGGGGAAGAAGAAGAGAGGACAGTCTATACGTCCTTCTGCATAGTAAGGGGCACTATAGTTGCCAATTGGTGGATTTGTTATCTAGAATGATGGGAGAAGAGAGGACAGTCTATACGTCCTTCTGCATAGTAAGGGGCACTATAGTTGCCAATTGGTGGATTTGTTATCTAGAATGCTGGGGGGAAGAAGAAGAGAGGACAGTCTATACGTCCTTCTGCATAGTAAGGGGCACTATAGTTGCCAATTGGTGGATTTGTTATCTAGAATGATGGGAGAAGAGAGGACAGTCTATACGTCCTTCTGCAAAGTAAAGGGCACTATAGTTGCCAATTGGTGGATTTGTTATCTAGAATGCTGGGAGAGAAGACAGTCTATACGTCCTTCTGCAAAGTAAAAGGCATTATAGTTGCCAATTGGTGGATTTGTTATCTAGAATGCTGGGAGAAGAGAGGACAGTCTATACGTCCTTCTTCAAAGTAAAGGGTTAATAATGACCTTGCCAATACCCAATGTCTTCTGCAGGCTAAAAAAGCCATGGCACCTGACACTTTTGGGAGTGTCCGATTCCTGTCCCTCCCCAACTCTGCATTCTCTGGTCCCTTCCACCGCCCCCCTACATTGCTGCAGGACACCATGGTGATGTAAGGGCCTGGGGAAGGAACCACAGCATGCAGCAGGGGACCAGGCAAGTGTCAGTGGCATGGGCACTGGGTGGGGTAAATATTAATCCTTTACTTTGGAGGTACCATTAAGCTTTCGATGACTGACTTCCAGTATTACCTCTTTGTCAGGACTGGGCATTGATCAGATGCAAAAAAGTTCAAAGCTATGACGCTGCTGGGTCCCCAAGAAAGGAGAAGGTAGTGAAAAAAGGGGGTGTAGGGAATAAATACAGCCACAGCTGAACATGTTTGCAGCCCCTTGAAGCAGGTCCTGAGCAAACCTAATGCACATATAGAAGGAAACGAGAAACTAGCCAGTGATCCCTTTAGCTGGGCCCTTAGCTGACTAGTGGACAGCAGAGGGGGGTCAACAGCACCAGATCCCTGAGATCCCACAATGTGTGTATTCACAGTCACTTGTTGAACAACCGGCAGGCTCTCTCAGTGATACCGATCCTAAGCGGCCTCCCTCTCAGTCAGCTTTTAAGAGAACGAGGGCCACTCGTCAGTTCCAGGTGCAAGTCCTCAGGTTGCCCACCTGAGGCCACTTGGCAGCAGGTGCCAGGGGAGGCAAGCCTACCTTGACCCTGGCATGGTGAAATCCACTCCAGGAAGGACACTGAGCCCATGTGCTCCTAAAATATAAATACCAGCTCTCAGCATGCAATTGGGCCATCCTCCCCTGGGATTGGCCAGTGCTGTATGCTGTTCATTTGCCTAGTTCCCATCTAGGTTCTGGAAAGCTCTATTGGCTTCCAGAAGGCAGGAGGAGCTCAAGGCAAACTCAACAGCACCACGGCATCATGAGCAGTCCTGAGTAATAGATTGCAGCACTCTGATAAGCAGAATTCCAGGGATAAATGTACCTACTAGCTCCCCTGTTAGTCAGAAGAGCAAACCACACTAATCTAACTATGTACTTCCTAGCACCTACCTATACCAGGAGGTCGCTACACTATTGGTATCAGTAAGTTATCGGTGAAGTGGCCTTGTGTTGAAGGGTTCAGCAGGCAAGCTGTCTGTGGTGCAGACTTAGGCCAGGAAGCGGCTGGATGCAGAAAGATAAGAGACCGCTGTGATGTGTTGAGCTGCAACACAAGGCCACTCCACAGATGACTTCCGTTACATCGATGACATATTGATTCCATCTATCATCCAGCGGGTGCATTATCTGATTTTGATTTTATAATACAAACAACTTACACTTAGATGGTGGCGCCCTCTCGTTTCCTTCCAAGTTGATGTAATGCAGCCTTTCTCAACTTTTTTCCCTAAAATGATTTTCAGGTCCATAGTTACATAGTTAGTCTGGCTGAAAAAAGACAAAAGTCCATCCAGTTCAACCATTAAAAAAAAAAGTTATAATCCTATACCCGCAATTGATCCAGAGGAAGGCAAAAAAACCCAGCAAAGCACGATCCAATTTGCTGCTGCAGGGGAAATAATTCCTTCTTGATCCCCCAAGAGGCAATCGGATATTGTTTGGCAGGGGCGGACTGACAACTCAAGGGGCCCCCAGGCAATAGGGGATCATGGGGCCCATGTGTCCTTGCCCAAACTCAAAAAAGCCTATGAAAAAGCCAATGAAAGGTACCAGGGGCATCTCATGGGGCCCCCTACTGAGCCCGGGCGCTCAAATGGTCAGTCTGCCCTGTTCTCTGGATCAACTTTACCTGTAAATGTTATATCCAGTTATATTCTGTGTATCCAAGAAAGAATCCAGGACTTTCCTACAGCAATCCACTGAGCTGGCCACAACCAAGGTCTCGATGAACCTTTGCTTAAACCAATTCATCAGAGGGCTATGGAAAGAATGTTCCTCACACTGGGGGTCAATAGGAAGAATGCCCCTTACACTGGAGATCAGTGTCCTACAGACAGCTAAAAAGATAATTTGTGTCTTGCTGCTGGCACTGCCAAATGGTATTGGCACCAGATCTATGCAGTTACCACCAAATGGAAGGTCAATCAGCCACAGCCCAAGGAACCTTTAGAAACTTCTTGAGGAACCCTAGTGTTCTACAGAACCCTTGTTGAGAATAGCTGATCTAATGTCTATGGAGCACCTACAGTCATTGATGGCATATGTTCAGATTGAGGAAAAGTTATTGGACTGGATGAAACCCCTTTCCAATTGCTATTGTCCCCCCCCACCCCCCCCCCCCCCCCCCCCCAGTAAGGTGCATTGGTTGGAAGTATTTGTCTTTCCTGCTTATAAGGCTAAAGAAAATTAGTTTTACAGCATGACCATTCATGTCTAGCCAAACACAACCCAATGGACAGTCGGATCATGCCTACGGGTGGGATCACTTATGATGCAGAGGTAGGCAACATTCAGAACTCCAGTTGTGGTGAAACAACCAATCCCATCACGCCTCTGGGAATCCTGGCAGTGGCTGCATTGGAGTCTTGCAATGCCTCTTGGGACTTGAAGCTCCACAACAGCCGGAGGTCTCAAGGCTGCCAAGGCCTGCTCTAGTGTCTGTGAATTATGCATGACTGTTCAAACCAACTCCAGAGTCTATGTACAAGGAAAGGACCACCAACAGATATTGGAGTGTCTATGGACAGCGTACGTTCTACCAACCGTGCTGCATTATTAGCCATTTTAGACTAAAAGTCTTTATTTATGAGCTGAAGACTTTCAAAATGCCACATCCGAAGAAATAGAACAACAAAAAAAAAAAAAAGTAACTGCTACTAGAGGATAATACTAGTCTCAATAATGGATGTTATAGGCGCATCACAATACATAGACAAGATTCAATAAAGTTGATTACAAATACAATCCTACATAAAAAACATGAAACTGTACATTTTGTGGTAAAGCGCTGCGTAAACTGTTGACACTATATAAATCCTGTATAATGATTGTAACGGAACCAGGAGCAGACTGACCATTTGGAAACACGGGCACTGCCCGAGGGCCCGGGGTCAGTAGGGGCCCCATGAGATGCCCCTGGTACCTTTTTCATAGGCTTTTTTGAGTTTGGGCAAGGACACAGGGGCCCCATGATCCCCTATTGCCCGGGGGCCCCATGAGTTGTCAGTCCGCCCCTGAACGAAACCGACCCCAGACTGCACTAGGGTACTTCCATTAGACTACCGCTTCCCTGTCCGAACACCGACCACAGACACCACAGCCGACCATACAAGACTAGACGGCACCAGCCTTGAACTAAACCAGAAGGTAGACTAGTTTATTTTAACACAGATACAAGATATATACATTCAAGGGAACAACCCCCCCCCCCCGCATAATGACACAGGGCGGGGCAATCTACATTTAGTAACAAGAGACACACCAGCAGACAGTCCCATCAGGGGGGAGGGCTGCTGGAGACACCCCCCACCAAGCCAATACACATAAACACATACATCCCATAATAGTTTGCTCCCAAGCAAGACGCACAATAGAACAATGGGATGCAACCACATGGCATTAAACAATCCACAACCCCCCCACCCCAATATTAGGACAGATCACCCTGTACCCCTAACAGGCACAGGGTGACTTACACATAATAGGGAGATGGGGAGCTGAGACAGGGGTCTCCCCACCTCTCCAAAGTGAGCTGTGTTCCATGGGCCCCCCAACCAAAGTGACTCCCGTCACAATGATAATAATAATATAGACGATGAAATCAATGATATCGGAATATCCTCTACTGGATTGGTATACCAGCTAGCCTGAAATTATCAGCACACTAATATATAATGTAACATGTATAGGCGCAGGCATGCTCGTCCAAATCCAGATACATGCATCAATGCGTTTCGCAACTAATCCCTTCCTCGGGACAGCGAGGGTATGTAGACACAAACCAGAGTACAATGTAGCACCAAGTAGTCTGGCAGGCGGACACAGAGGCAGAGCAGAGGTGAAAGGAATGGGAAGCAGAGGGCTCCTCGTCACTGGTGTACTATCTGCAAGGATACTCAGTGTGCACCCCCGCCGAATGGGTCACCATAAGAAACGGATATCTCCGTATTCAAGATATATTTGCTGAAGTCCAAATACAAAGATATATACAAAAATACCCAAGGGGCACTAGAGATCATTTTCTGCTTCAAGTCCAGAATGGAATGGAATACAGGATGACAACCAGCAAGCTGAAGGATCCTGAAAGCCATATGTATTCAATACTTACTGTACATTGCTAAAAGTATTGGCCCCGCCCTCCCAATCATGTGATTCAGGTGTTCCAATCCCCTCCATATCATGTGATTCAGGTGTTCCAATCCCCTCCATGGACACAGGTGTATACAATCAAGCCCCTAGGCATGCAGACGGCTTCTACAAACATTGGTGAAAGAATGGGTCGCTCTCAGGAGCTCAGTGACTCCAAGCGTGGTCCCGTGATAGGTGGCCACCTGGGCAATAAGTCCATCCGTGACATTTTCCTGGCTACTAAATATTCCACGTTCAACTGTTAGTGGGATTATAACAAAGTGGAAGCAACTGGGAACAACAGCCACTCAGCCACCAAGTGGTAGGCCACGTCACATGACAGGGCGGGGTCAGCGCATGCTGAAGCGCACAGTGCGCAGAAGTCGCCAACTGTCTACAGAGTCAATAGCTAAAGACCTCCAAACTTGGTGTGGCCTTCAGATGAGCCCAACAACAGTGCGTAGAGAGCTTCATGGAATGGGTTTCCATGGCCGAGCAGCTGCATCCAAGCCTTACATCACCAAGTGCAATGCAAAGCGTCGGATGCCGTGGTGTAAAGCACGCCGCCACTGGACTCTAGAGCAGTGGAGGCGTGTTCTCTGGAGTGACCAATCACGCTTCTCTGTCTAACAGTGCGAAGGACGTGTCTGGGTTTGGCGGTCGCCAGGAGAACGGTACTTGCCTGACTGCATTGTGCCAAGTGTAAATTGTGGTGGAGGGGGGATTATGGTGTGGGGTTGTTGTTCAGGGGTTGGGCTTGGCCCCCTAGTTCCAGTGAAGGGAACTCTTAATTTGACATTTTGGACAATTTCATGCTCCCAACTTTGTGGGAAGAGTTTGGGGATGGCCCCTTCCTGTTCCAACATGACTGCCCCCCAGTGCACAAAGCAAGGTCCATAAAGACATGGAGGAGCCAGTTTGGTGTGGAGGAACTTGACTGTCCTGCACAGAGTCCTGACCTCAACCCCATAGAACACCTTTGGGATGAATTAGAGCGGAGACTGCGAGCCAGGCCTCCTCCCCCGACATCAGTGCCTGACCTGACAAATGTGCTTCTGGAAGAATGGTCCAACCTTCCCATAGACACCCTCCTAAACCTTGTGGACGGCCTTCCCAGAAGAGTTGAAGCTGTTATAGCTTCAAAGGGCGGGGCCAACTCAATATTGAACCCTACGGACTAAGACTGGGGGGCCATTAAAGGTCATGTGTGTGGAAAGGGCGGGGCCAACTCAATATTGAACCCCACCGACTAAGACTGGGAGGCCAATAAAGGTCATGTGTGTGGAAAGGGCGGGGCCAACTCAATATTGAACCCTACCGACTAAGACTGGGGGGCCATTAAAGGTCATGTGTGTGGAAAGGGCGGGGCCAACTCAATATTGAACCCCACCGACTAAGACTGGGAGGCCAATAAAGGTCATGTGTGTGGAAAGGGCGGGGCCAACTCAATATTGAACCCTACCGACTAAGACTGGGGGGCCATTAAAGGTCATGTGTGTGGAAAGGGCGGGGCCAACTCAATATTGAACCCCACCGACTAAGACTGGGAGGCCAATAAAGGTCATGTGTGTGGAAAGGGCGGGGCCAACTCAATATTGAACCCTACCGACTAAGACTGGGGGGCCATTAAAGGTCATGTGTGTGGAAAGGCTGGCCGACCAATACTTGGGGCAATATTGTGTATTTATATCCTTTGAACAGACTCACAGTTTGGTATTTCCACTTATACCCAGAAGTCAACAGGTCCAGTTACTCCGCCTGGCCCCTGAAAGTCTCCAACCAAAATGCCAACCTAAAAGTCTTATTGCCCCTTTATCTCATGGATGATATAATTCGGGTTTCCTGGTCCTTTATCAAAACTCAAAAACAAAAATGGGAATATGTTGCATCCTACCAGTCCTTACATATGGTGGCTCCATTTATGTTCTTCTTTCAGGTTTTTTTTTCTTTTATTCTCCCCTGATGATCCTGCCAGTAGTACACATCCTGTCCTAGGGTGGACAACACTCACTGTACTGTATTTGTAGAGGAGTAATGTTGTCACCCTAGGCTGCTCTCCTGATTTGAACTACAACCACACCCTCCTCTCCTCCCTTACGTAGGGTCTTCTATAGCTCACACCACGTACCTAGGAAAGACGGTATCACCGCTTGATCTGTCCATTCAGTGCACACGAAGATACAGGGACACTGGATTTCTGGCAGGATCAACAGATGTCTTTATTTTGGGAAAAAAAAAAACAAATGTAGCCACCGTCTATTACATATTTGTTCTTGGGTGTAGATCTAGGCATTGGTCGGGCCTACTGCATGATAGCAATGTGCTCGGTGGAGTTATGGAGGTCCTCTTGTCCCATTGGATGGCATTAGAAAGCCTGCAGCTCCTAAAGGGGCTCATTCACCAGATGGGTTGCCATCAGGGCATTTTTTTCTCAGAAAATAGGTGCAGGAACTCCCCCTTTCTGAGTCACTTCTGGTCTCCGCCCCCCTACCCACCTCCCAGTACCGCCCCTTTTAGAGAATACAGAGCCAAGTATCTTTTTTTGGTGCCAAGTCATTTGTATAGAATTTGTTAATGTTAACAGGAAAAGCAGTAAATTAGATCCCCCACAGCCAGTAGCAAAAGGCCCCCCCCCAGCAACAATAGACCCCCTGGCAACAATAGACCCTGGAAGCAAAAAACCAATGTTCCAGCAGCCAGCATCATTAGACTCTCCAACAGCCAGCAACAATATAGACCCCTCCCTCAACAGTAGATCCCTTTCAGCAATAATTGCCCCCCACAAAAAGAGGCCCTCCAGTAACAATTGGTCTCACAGCAGCCAGCGACAATAGACCCCTCCCTCAACAGTAGATCACTTTCAGCAATAATTGCCCTCCACCCAACAAAAAGAGGCCCTCCAGTAAAAATGGATCTCCCAGCAGCAAGCAACAATAGACCCCTCCCTCAGCAGTAGATCCCTTTCAGCAATAATTTCCCCCACCCAAAAAAAAGAGGCCCTCCAGTAACAACTGGTCTCACAGCAGCCAACAACAATAGACCCCTCCCTCAACAGTAGATCACTTTCAGCAATATTGCCCTCCACCCAACAAAAAGAGGCCCTCCAGTAAAAATGGATCTCCCAGCAGCAAGCAAAATAGACCCCTACCTCAACAGTAGATCCCTTTCAGCAACAATTTCCCCCCACCCAACAAAAAAGAGGCCCTCCAGTAAACAATTGGTCTCACAGCAGCCAACAACAATAGACCCCTCCCTCAACAGTAGATCACTTTCAGCAATAATTGCCCTCCCAGTCAACAAAAAGAGGCCCTCCAGTAACAATAGATCTCACAGCAGCTAGCAACAATAGACCCCTCCTCAACAGTAGATCCCTTTCAGCAATATTTGTATTTGCCCCCCAAAACAATATAAGCCCCAGAGAAACAATAGCCCCCCCCCCACCAACAACAGCAATAAACCTCCCCAGCAACAATAGACTGTCATGCAAAAAAGAGATGCCCTTTAGCAACAATAGATCTCACAACAGCCACGACAATAGACCCTTCTCCCAACAGCAGATCCCATCCAGCAACATAATACCCCCCAGAAACAATAAACCTCCCCAAGCAATAGACCCCCCATGCAAAAAAAATAGATCCTCCTCTCCAGCAACAATAGATCCCCCAGCAGCCAGCATCAATAGACCCTCCAGCATGACTCAGCACTTCATGCCATTACATACATTCAGTGCTGGTTCTCCCATTGAAAAAAAGCATTTATACAGAATAGAATGAACAGGAAAATACCACATTACAGCCACTAGATGGGGCTGATGATCATAAGAAATATGTATTTATTTCCTATGATCATCATCCCCATCTAGTGGCTGTAATGTGGTATTTTCCAGGTGTTTGGTGTAATTAATAATGGTACAAAGCATGGGGCGGACTGACCAAAACTCGGGCATTGCCCGAACGGGTCAGTAGGGGGCCCCATGAGTTGGTACCCTTTTTCATAGGCATTTTGAGTTTGGGCAAGGACACAGGGGCCCATGATCCATTATTGCCCGGGGGCCCCCATGAGTTGTCAGTCCGCCCCTGGTACAAAAGACACAAGCAATACCTTTTCATGTTCAGATTGGATGCAGATTATTACAAGCTGCTGTTTGCGTATCATTATCTGGCACCAAGCCTAGCAGGTCCTTTGAGTTGGGAGAGGCGGGGCCTCCATGGATCGGACTTGTTTTTCCAGCACATCCCACAGATGCTCGATTGGATTGAGTTCTGGAGAATTTGGAGGCCAAGTCAATACATTGATCTTCCTCAAACCATTCTTGAGTTCATCAGACCAAGCCACCTTCTTCCATGGCTCCGTGGTCCAGTTCTGATGCTCACGTCCCCATTGTAGGTACTTTTGGCGCAGCATGGGTCAACCCACTCTGCAACAGCCCCGTACACAACAAACTGCGATGCTCTGTGTGTTCTGACACCTTTCTAGCAGAACCGGCATTCGCTTTTTTTTTTAGCAATTTGAGCTACAGGAGCTCTTCTATTGGATCGGACTACTCGGCCCAGCCTTCCCACCTCCATCAAGAGCCCTTGCACACAGGACCATGTCTTTTGCCACACTGACTTATGAAAGTCGGTTTTCCCCGTGACTGTGCATGCAGCCCTGTGCTGCCATCTGTTGGCATGTGTCTTGAAACTTTTAGATACCACCTTGTATAAGTCTATGGCTCAGTGCAGCTAACCCGGAGGAAAAGCCAGGTGCACGGCGCTGCACCCCTGCATCTCAGTGTGTGACTTACGAAGGTCAGTGTTCCCTGTGACTGTGCTGCCATCTGTTGTGTGTAACAAAACTAGTCTTGAAGCTTTTAGATACACCTTGTATAAGTCTATGGCTCAGTGCAGCTAACCCGCAAGAAATCCACAGGTGCACGGCGCTGCACCCCTGCATCAGTGTGAGACTTATGAAGGTCGGTGATCTCCGTGACTGTGCATGCAGCCCTGTGCTGACATCTGTTGGTGTGGTTACAAAACTAGTCTTGAAACTTTTAGATACACCTTGTATAAGTCTATGGCTCAGTGCGGCTAACCCACAGGTGCACGGTGCTGCACCCCTGAATCAGTGTGTGCCTTACGAAGGTCAGTGTTCCCTGTGACTGTGCATGCAGCCCTGTGCTGCCATCTGTTGGCGTGTGTCTTAAAACTTTTAGATACCACCTTGTATAAATCTATGGCTCAGTGCAGCTAACCTGGAGGAAAAGCCGCAGGTGCACCCCTGCATCAGTGTGTGACTTATGAAGGCCGGAGTCATCCCACTCCCTCACCCCCCGTGACTGTGCTGCCATCTGTTTGGTGTGTAACAAAACTAGTCTTGAAACTTTTTATATACCCCCTTGTATAAGTCAATGGCTCAGTGCAGCTAACCCGCAGGTGCACGGTGCTGCACCCCTGCATCAGTGTGTGACTTACGAAGGTCGGTTGTTCCCCGTGACTGTGCATGCAGCCCTGTGCTGCCATCTGTTGGCGTGTTCCAAAACTAGTCTTGTAAGCTTTTTAGATACCACCTTGTACAAGTCTATGGCTCACTGATGCCCTGGGATGGCGGACCCACAATCTGGGCTTGCCGACCCGCCATCCCGGAGCAGGAAGTTTGCGGACCCCCCCGGTTGGGTGCCCCCTGCTGCGCAACATCTAATTACAGTGAAATCGATCATAAAACAAAAAATAATTAGACTCATTATAGATCGATTTTAATAAGTCCAGAGCTGAACTCCAGCCAAAATGTTTTTTTTAGAAGTTTTAGGGGAAGGCTTTACATTTCTTTGACCCCACTGGGGAGATTTCCCCTCACTTCCTGTCCCTGTGACCCCCAGAGAAGTTCTGATCCTTCCCCGCTCTATGAAAAATGTGTTTGTGTCCCCGTTAAAGAGACTTAAAAATAGAAAGAGTAAGTAGAACACAACCAAAGGATACTTTCGCAATGAAGTTGTATTCAATGTATATATATATATACTGTATATAGACGCACATAGAGCAACTGATACAAATTGATACAAAAGTATATCATATGACAGCAAGCAACATACACCGAGAGCACACCGATCAGTGCAACTGATACCCACACAGGGGCGGACTCACCAATTGGAAACTCGGGCACTGCCCGAGGGCCCGGGGTCAGTAGGGGCCCCATGAGATGCCCCTGGTACCTTTTTCATAGGCTTTTTTGAGTTTGGGCAAGGACACAGGGGCCCCATGATCCCCTATTGCCCGGGGGCCCCATGAGTTGTCAGTCCGCCCCTGTATCCACAGAATACATGTGTGTACTTGGGAAAAGTGAGTACCAGTCATCAATATGGATCAGCTGATCAGCTAATTGATTAGCATCAACATGCTATTTAAAATATTAACTCCTCCCCCTCCAGAGGATTACCCCCTCCCCCCTCGTCCTCCAGAGGATTCCCCCCCCTTTCGCCCTCCAGAGGATTGCAATGCAGGCAGATCATGGCTGGTGGGAGGGGCCTAAAAAACATTACAGCGCCCTGTCTCAATACTCCTTTCAAAAGCCCTCAGTCCTGATGCAATCAGCCAGATGGCTGTTGGGAGGAGCTATGCAAATATCGAAACGCCTTGACGGGGGGCGTGGACGTTCCTAGGCAGGCTGTATTTTGCATGCAGACGGATTGTACAGGGACGCACTGGACACCCAGCGAACGCGCAATGGCCCTTGGAGGTATCCAGTGCGTCCCGCACCAATTCACCAGCCGTACAAACGAATGGCAACCAACCCCGACCTATAACTGGCTCTTGCAGCAAGGAGCAAATGGAAAGAGGTCAAAAAAACAAACAGAAATTCCCAGCTTACTTACCAACCAGCCTGCAACAAACCAAATTAAACCGAATTAAAACAAGGGGTTTGGTTTGCGCACATTTGCAAATATATGCGGAAGCTGCAGGGGCCACGTCACGGCACCCCCAGTGCCCTGCAGTCTGAAGTCTATCATTTTGAGAGCCTCCCAACTTGGAGAACATATAGTGTATAGTATTGGATAGATTAGGGGCAGGTATGCCTGGAGGGAGCCCACCAGGGGCGGACTGACAACTCATGGGGCCCCCGGGCAATAGGGGATCGTGGGGCCCCTGTGTCCTTGCCCAAACTCAAAAAAGCCTATGTAAAAAGGTACCAGGGGCATCTCATGGGGCCCCCTACTGACCCTGGGCCCTCGGGCAGTGCCCGAGTTTCCAAATGGTCAGTCCACCCCTGGAGCCCACCCCACAATGGCAGCTGAGGGTATCTAGTTTGTCCCCGTATTTGCATGCAGACCACCCTAGGCAACGCCCCCATGTGGTGCCAAACCTCCATAAATGAAATATTGAAATCCAATGAATGAAAGGGTTGAAGCCAGGGACTGTTAGGATGGGGGGGGGAAAGGGTTAAGCTGGCCATATATGAGCCAATTCCCCATCCACACATTTGATTTGGATGGGGTAGGGGCGGACTGACACTCATGAGGCCTCCAGGCAATAGGGGATCATGGGGCCCCTGTGTCCTCACCCACACTCAAACAACACCCAAAAAAATCCTATGAAAGGTACAAGGGGCAATCTCATGGGGAACCCTATTGACCCTGGGGCAGTGCCCAAAATAGTCAGTCCTCCCCTGGATGGGGGAATCCTTCCCACTGTTAGAAAACAATAGTCATTTTAGTGGCTATAGCCACTGAACTGATCGTTCAACAAAAATGACAGATCATCGATAGATCACTTTTGAACATGACTCGAAATTTGGCCGGTCCAGCGGATGAATTTTGATCCATGTATGGTCAGTTTTAGATGATGCTGGACGTCCTCCACCCAGGAAATGAGGCGGGGCTCTAACTGACTTGGTGCCACTTCTAACAAACACTGTGAGAAGCTCAAAACATTTTCAATACAGAAAAGGAGTCCGTATAAAGGGTGCAAGACTGAAGGGACGTCTGGAGCTCAGCTTTGGTTGAAGGCATTTTCAATGAGGTCACGAATAGGCCTTCTCACCTTGCTCTTCACATCCTTCCCCATGAAGGCATACAGTATTGGGTTGATGCAACTATTGAAATAGGCCATGGACTGTGCAGGATCGTACAGAGCAACCACCACTTTATCCTGAGTATACAGAAGAAGGGTTCCAAACACATGGAAGGGAGTCCAGGTGATGAAGAACGCCATGATGATGGCAAGGGACACTCTGGCGGTCTTTCTGGCGGCCTTCGAAAATTGGATGTTTTGGGCTTTACAAACCAGGCGGATGTAACAGCACAAAATGATGAGGAGAGGAATCAGAAATCCAAAAACCATTCGAGTAAGAGTGATGGGAACCCTATACTCTTCGATGTAGACACACTCAGTAACGTTGTTGACCGTTTCCGTTTTTCGGTAGATGGCAGAAGGTAGACCCAACGCAACTGACACAATCCAGACAACCAAGCAGACGTTCCACGTTGTCCTTAAGCGGCGGTGATTTTGGGCCCACACAGGCCAGACCACCAGGATGCATCGGTCAATGCTGATGGCCACCAGGATGAAGACGCTGGAGAACATATTGAGAATGATGATGAAGGGTAAAATCTTGCACAAAGCGCTACCGTACGGCCATTCGGAAGCGAAGAGATTAATTATGACAAGGGGGGCTAATGAGCAACAGATGATGTCGGCCAGAGCAAGGTTGCAAAACCAAACGGTGCTGACTCTGCGTTTCATCTTCACTCCAGTGACCCAAAGCACCAGAGCGTTGCCGGGGACCCCCACGAGGAACACGAAAAGTAGAACCAGGGTGGTGATCATTTTCTCACAGCTCAAAGATCTGGTCGTGTCTGTCAAGTTGCTGATGTTGGACATCTTTATTCCCTGTAAAGACGTGGAGAACTATTAGTTGTGTGAGATCAGTATATCTTTTTTTGAGGGGAACAATGTGTTCTCATCTGTATGATGTAAGAATACAGGACACAATGGAGATCTACAAAGCTGCCAGGAAAGGTTCTCCCTTTGCTCTTCACCCCATCTTCACTCTCTTTTCATTTCCCCTTTTGTCTCTCTGCCTGCCCACCATGTTTTCTCCTCCATCCCTCTGTCTCCCTCATTTTTATCTTTCTACTCCTCACCTCTATCACTCTCTCTGTGTCCCCCTCGCTACCTCTTTGTTCATCTCTCCTATTTTGTCCTCCTTTCTCTCCCTCTCTCTCTGTCCACCTTTCTTTATTCTTCTCTTCCTTCTCTGTCTCCTTCTTCTCTCTCCAACTTTTCTCTTTTCATTTCTTTCAACTTCTTGTTTCACTTGTCTGTCCTCTTCCTCTCCTTTACCCCTCATTGTTCTGCTTCCTCTCTCTCATTCTTCTCTCTCGCTCACTCCATCTCCCATTCATCTCTTTTCCTTTCCACCTCTTCCTTATCTCCTTTCTCCTCTCTGTGCTCTTCTCCATCTTCTTCATAGCTCATTGTTCTCCTTCTTTCTCTATCCTTCTTCTTCTCTTGCTGTCACCATCTCCCATTCATCTTTTCCTTTCTCTCCACCTCTTTTCTTTTGTTTCACCTCTAGGTTCTCCTGTCCCTCTTCTTTACCTCTTATTGTTCTCCTTTCTTTCTCTGTCTTTCTTCTTCTCTCGCTCTCACCATGTCCATTCATCTCTTTCCCTTTCTCTCCACCTTTTTCTTCTTCTCTTTCTTTTCACCTCTCGGTCCTTTTCTTCCTTTTCTTCACCTCTCAGTGCTGTACTTTCTCTCGCTCTTTCTTCTGCTCTCTTTTCACCTCTTTTACCTCCTTTCCCATTTCTTCGCCTCTCATCGATTTCCTTCTCTCTCATTTTTCTCTTGCTCTCCTCTCACCATCACCCATCTCTTTCCCTTCTCTCCACCTCTTTACTCTCTCTTTTCACTTCTCTGTCCTCCTCTCCCTCTTTTTCATCTCATTGTTCTTCTTTCTTCTCTCATTCATCTTCCTCTCTGTCCTCCTCTACCCGTTCCTCACTGCTCATTGTTCCTTCTCTCTCTCCCTCACTATTCCTCATTCATCTCATTCCCTTCTCTCCACCTTTCTTCCTCTGTCTCTTTTCACTTCTCTGTCCTCCTCTCCCTCTTCGTCATATCTCATTCGTTCTCTCACACACATTTTTTCTCTCTCTCACCATCTCCTATTCATCTCTTTGTCCTTCTTTCCACCTTTTTCTTCTTTACGTTCACCCCTCTGACCTCTTCTTCTTCACTTCTCATTGTTCTCCTTTTTCTCTCTCATACTTCTTCTCTTTTTCCCTCCATCTCCCATTTGTCTCTTTTCCTTTCCAGCTCTTCCTTTTCTTTTCACCTCTCTGTCCTCCTCTCTCCCCTTCTTCACTTTTCATTGTTCACCTTTTTCTTTCTCATACTTCTCTTGCTCCCTTTATCCTTTACCCCTCATTGTTCTGCTTCCTCTCTCTCATTCTTCTTCTCTCGCTCACTCCATCTCCTATTCATCTCTTTTCCTTTCCACCTCTTTTCTTCTCTCTTTTCACCTCTCTGTCCTCCTCTCCATCTTCTTCATATCTCATTGTTTCTCCTTCTTTCTCTATCCTTCTTCTTCTCTCACTGTCACCATCTCCCATTCAACTCTTTTCCTTTCTCTCCACCTCTTTTCTTTTGTTTCACCTTTAGGTTCTCCTGTCCCTCTTCTATACCTCTTATTGTTCTCCTTTCTTTCGCTGTCTCTTTCTTCTTCTCTCACTCTCACCATGTTCCATTCATCTCTTTCCCTTTCTCTCCACCTCATTTTCTCTCTCTTGTTCACCTCTCTGTGCTCCTCTACCTCTTCCTCACCTCTCAGTGTTCTACTTTCTCTCACTCTTTCTTCTTCTCTCTCTTTTCACCTCTTTTACCTCCTTTCCCACTTCTTCGCCTCTCATCGATCTCCTTCTTTCTGTCTTTCTCATTCTTCTCTCTCTTGTTCACCTCTGTCCTCTACCTCTTCCTCACCTCTCAGGGTTCTTTCTCTCTCTCTCTCATTCCTCTCACTCTCACCATCTTCCATTCATCTCTTTTCCTTTCTCTCCACCTTTTTCTTCTCTTTATTTTCCCCTCTCAGTCCTCATCTTCCTTTTCTTCACCTCTTAGTGTTCTACTTTCTCTCGCTCTCTCTTTCTTCTTCTCTCTTTTCACCCTTTTCCCACTTCTTCGCTTCTCATCAATCTCCTTCTTTTCTGTCTTTCTCATTCTTCTCTCGCTCTCACCATCACCCATTCATCTCTTTCCCTTCTCTCCACCTCTGTCCTCCTCTCCCTCTTCTTCATATTTTATTGTTCTTATTTCTCTCTCTCATTCTTCTCTCACTCACTCCATCTCCATTCATTCATTTTGTTTCTGTTTTCTCCACCTCTTTTTCACCTTTCTGTCCTCCTCGACCTGTTCCTCACTGCTCCTTGTTCCTTCTCTCTCTCCTTCTCTTGCTCTGACTATTCCTCGTTCATCTCTTTCCCTTCTCTCCAACTTTCTTCCTCTGTCTCTTTTCATTTCTCTGCCCTCCTACCTCTTCTTCATATCTCATTGTTCTTCTTTCTCCCTCTCATTCTTCTTCTTCTTTCACTCACTCTCCATCTCCCATTCATTTTGCTTTTGTTTTTCTCCACATTTCTTCTTCTCTCTCTTTTTCACCTCTCTGTCCTCCTCTACCTGTTCCTCACCGCTCATTGTTCCTTCTCTCTCTCCTTCTTCTCTCGCTCTCACTATTCCTCATTCATTCTCATCTCTTTCCACCTTTCTTCCTTTTCTCTTTTCACTTCTCTGTCTTCCTCTCCCTCTTCTTCATATCTCAATAATTCTCTCTCTAACCATCTCCCATTCATCTCTTTGCCTTTCTTTTTCACCTTTTTCTTCTTCTCAATTCCATTTCACCCGTGTCCTCCTCTCCCTCTTCTTCACTTCTCATTGTTCTCCTTTGTCTCTCTCATACTTATTCTCTCGCTCCCTCCATCTCCCATTCGTCTCTTTTTCATTCTCTCCAACTCTTTCTTTTCTCTCTTTTCACCTCTCTGTCCTCCTCCACCCTTCTTCACCTCTCATCGTTCTCCTTTCTCTCTCTCTCTCTCACTCTAACCATCTCCAATTCAACTCTTTTCCTTTCCACCTCTTCCTTCTCTCCTTTCACCTCTCCCTCTTCTTTTCTCACTCTCACCATCTCCCATTCATCTTTTTTCCCCTTCTCTCCACCCCTCTTTTTTCTTCTCTCTCTTTTCAGCTGTCTTCCTCCCCATTTTTTGCCTCTCATTGTTCTTCTCTCTCTCTCTATCTGTCTATCTTCTCTCGCTCCCACCATGTCACAGTCATCACTTTTCCTTTCCACATCTTCCTTCTCTCCTTTCACCTCTCTGTCCTCCTCTCCCTCTTCTTTTCTGGCTCTCACCATCTCCCATTCATCTCTTTCCCCTTCTCTCCACCTTTCTTCTTCTCTCTCTTTTCACCTCTCTGTCCTCCTCCACATTTCTTCACCTCTCATTGTGTTTGTTCTCCTTCTCTCTCTCATTCCTCTTCTTCTCTCGCTCCCACCATGTCCCAGCCATCTCTTTTCCTTTTTCTCTTCCTCTAACTCCTCTATAGAATCCTATTGTCTTGAGAATTAAAGCAAGAAACCCAAATGGGCATGAAGCATTAGACGATGGGGTCCATCAAAAGTTGAACGACTTCTCCATGGTTGGGTCTTACCTCCACCAGGCTGCAGCAGATGCGAACCGGGGTCTTCACTTCGTCACCACCTTGGATTATTTCAGGTTGACTGACAGTTACAAAAGTTGTTCTGTTTCATACTTACCTTACATAACTTCCTTCCTGTGGAATTCTTTGTAAAACCATAACAAAGCAGGTAAAAAGCTGTCCCTTAACTACACTAAACCCAACAAATGAAATGGGCTTGCAAATAAAATAGCCGCGCCCAGAGATCTTTTACTGTGCAGTCAAAATGTACTTGTACTCTTCTGTCTTTCCAGTATATGAAAAGAATAAAAATTCCCATGCCATAGGACAATTTAAAACCATAGGGGTAGAATAGTAATTGTTCTCATGGTAAATACAGTACAGTGCCTTGAAAAAGTCTTCACACCCCTTGAAATCTTCCACATGTTGACATGTTAGAACCAAAAACGTAAAGGTATTTTATTGGGATTGGATGTGATAGAACAACACAAAGTGCCACATAATTGTGACTTGGAGGGAAAATGAGAAATGGTTTTCATAATTTGTTACAAATAAATATCTGAAAAGTGTGGCGGCATTTGTATTTAGCCCCCCCAAAGTCAATACAGTGTAGGACCCCCTTTCGCTGCAATTCCAGCAGCAAGTCTTTTTGGGGATGTCTCTTTGCACATCTAGAGAGGGACATTTCTGCCCATTCTTCTTTGCAGAATCGCTCAAGCTCTGTCAGATTGGATGGAAGCATCTGGGAACAGCAATTCTCAGGTCTGGCCACAGATTCTCCATTGGATTTGGGTCTGGACTGTGACTGGGCCATTCTAACACATGAATATGCTTTGATCTAAACCATTCCATTGTAGCTCTGGCTGGATGTTTCGGGTTGTTGTCCTGCTGGAAGGTGACCCTCCGCCCCGATCTCAAGTCTTTTGCAGACTCTAACAGGTTTTCTTCTAAGATTGCCCTGTATTTGGCTCCATCCATCTTCCCATCAACTCTGACCAGCTTCCCTGTCCCTGCTGAAGAAAAGCATCCCTACCACATGATGCTGCCACCATGATGCTGCCACCACCATGTTTCACAGTGGGGATGGTGTGTTCAGGATGATGTGCAGTGTTAGTTTTCCACCACACATAGTG